GGTTACTTTAGGTTTACGCGAGTCAATGGTTTTACGAATGCAGATTTGAAGGTGAGTTTTAAAAGAGGAAATCATGGAGATGGGTCTGACTTTGATGGGCCTGGTCGTGTATTGGCGCATGCTTTTGCACCAACTAATGGAAGGGTTGATTTCGATGCAGATGAGAATTGGTCGGATGGACCAGGAGCGGTTCCGAATGTTATGGATTATGAGTCGGTAGCGGTTCATGAAATCGGGCATCTGCTTGGGTTGAGGCATAGTGCAGATCCGAATGCCTCAATGTATGCTACCATCCGTTCTGGAGTTGTAAAGGGTTTGAATTCAGATGATATTCAAGGCATCAAAGTTCTTTATGGACTTAATTAATTATATATGTGGTCGTTATGTATGCATGCATGCATGCATACTCACATCATTACTATATGTACTAAGTATGTTGTTTATTGTTATGTATCTATGTTGTGAGCATTTGATCATGACAATATGTATTACTTATTTTGTTATTGTTATCATGTATGTATGTCACACATACATACCTATGTATCTATGTATGTCCTAAGCATTTGATCAATGACAATATGTTTTTCTATAAATATCAATATATTGTTTTATTAAACTATTTTGTGACATAAATGGCTAATGACCAATGGGTTTAACTATTTGGGAAACACGATAAAAACTTATCTTTCATGGTTTTAATAWSTCTTTTTCATAGTTAATAAAATGACAGTATATAAGGGATCCGGTCTTTTCTAGTAATGATTTTGGTACAAACATGAAAATTCCWTRTGGGGCGGAAAGAAAAGTCTGCACTCGTCCATGGAATTTATTTTGTTCATGGTGGTAGGTTCCATTTTTCTTTTAGTGGGAGTTTTGGATGTCGGTTTAAGATAAAAATCACTTGACCTAATTTTTCATGTCTTATACATGTCCACCATTCATATAAATACACGTAAAGAGAGAGAGAGAGAGAGAGAGAGAGAGAGAGAGTGAGAGAGAAAGTAACATTTATTAAATAGATGAAAATATGATGTGTTAACTTCCATTTTTGCACCTAAGATGTAAGGATTTAAACATTTAAGTACACGGGTAAGTGGTTGAAGCATTAATCGGTTACTATGCTGATGTGACGAGTGATGGGATGAAATTGGATTGAATAGCAAATAATATTGAGTTTGATACCACATAACTCGTCACATCAATATCGTAACTRGTAAATGTTTCAAGTAGTTACYCTGATACTTAAATATTTAAAACTTTACATCTTAGATATTAAAATAAAAGTTTTGAAATTACATTAACCAAAATAAAAATAAAGTTAAAGTAAATTATTTTTTCATGATTTGCGGCATCCAAAAGAGTGTTATCTTAATTCATTTCCTTTAAGCACAACTTTTGTACAACTTACAAAGCACAATAAAATGCTATGAAGCTTAAAGCACTTGTACATGCTAACATCCAATTTCCTTTTCCCTCCGCAAATCTCTCCACCAAAAACACCATTAAAGCACTCACAAAGCTCCAAACACACTTGTACACATCGCGATTCCCATCGTCCTCATCCCTGCCGGAACCTCGCCGTAGAAAAACTCCTGCATTCCGACCACCGTGAAAATATCCGAGATCCCTAACAGAATATACTGCGGCAACAAACAGAAGATACTCAACCGTCCAGATCTAGATCTCGTTGATTCAAGCCTCTTCGATTCCACCGTCGCTGCAAATACCATTGCGATGACGGAGAGGAACATCACATTCCGATTCCGATTCCGATTCCGATCCGTTGCATGGTTGTGATTCCTTTCTCGTTGCGTAAGATGAAACGAGTGAACGGAATGAAGATGGAGTCGTAGAATGGTATCAGGAGGATTATGGAGATCGTGATTGCGCTTTGGAGAGTCGCCGGAGGAATGTTGTAGCTTTTTCCGTTGTTCCGTTTCATTGTTACTCCTTGTTTTATGAAAAATGTTGGTGGTTGTTGGAAAACTAGTGCAAACAAAACATGAGTAGTGTTGTCCAGATGGGTAGTAATCGGACGACGACTTCCATGATTCTGAGCCGTTGATTGTTGTGTTCCGATGAACACTCGCTTTTGACGTCGTCTTTTCAAGAGAGTGGGTTTTCTTGGAGCCTGGAAGATCACAACACAAGCATCAAGCATCAAGCATAAGCAGTGTTTCTTTTAATGGGAGTTTTGGATGTCGGTGTAGGATAAAAATCACCTGTCCCATACATCAGTTATTGTATAAAAAAAATGCAATTTTTAGACTTTACGTAAAAATTCAAGTTTCTGCGTCAAGTATGTCTGGTTGACAAAAAAAGACACGATCACAAGAAATGTCCTCCAATCCATTTCTACTTTTGAAGCTAACATATACCACTAATTGTGGTGGTTGTTTCATCCGTCCATGGAGGTTTTGTTAATGAAATATGCAAGCGTAAAAGATTCTTTTATGGATTAAAAATAGCATCTCGAAGATGGAATTTTGTTTTGATGGAATTTTATCGGGTAAGGACGATGAGAAGGATGAAGAGTTTTATCGGTAAGTGAAGATGACAAATTGTTGCATTCAATATGTTTTGATGTACTAAAATCTTACGCATCAAAATAAATTATAGTGTTGACTCATACCAATAAACATTTACCGGGTAAGGCCCCTAGGTGAATCATACAGTATGTATGATGACATTTTAGGAAAATCCTTTTGACATTTTAAGTACATGTCTTAAAGTACAGCTGTGTAACAGTGTGTTTCTAGGGCAGTTTACATGTTAAGACAAATTCCCAAACGATCATAAATGCCTAAAGTTACTGCATTGCAGGTGAATCTCCATGGCCATAAAGTCTTTGGCAGCATCTCGATTTAAACTTGAAGTAGAAGAAAWTTTCCACTACATCCCCTGAAATTTAACCAGTGCCCTACAACCCAAACTTCGATCATCATCAACAACAAATTAATCATATAAAATTAGATTTACTCCTCAACATCAAAAAACCTATATATACAAAAATAATCGTTGTTGTRAATATAAAAGGGCAAATTGAATTAAAATGCAATGTACTTTAATCTGATTTTTATTATGTGTAACGTTTTTTTGGAACTTTTATTTTGATAACCCAGATGTGATATYTCAAACATTTAGACCAACGTATGTTACCCCAAAATAGAAATCGGATCGGAAGTACTTAATTTCATTCATTCTCATGTTTAACGTAGGTACCTGAATGTTAGAAATGTCCCAACCGAAGTACTGAAATAAAWWTTTTAAACATACGTCAAATGAAAATATGACTAAAAAACAAAATATGTTGCATTTCCATGTAATTTGACTGAAAAATATAACATCATAAATGTAACATCCCAAGCCAATTGTACCAGTTATTGTCCAYTTTTGACTCACRGTTTTAAAACGCATTATAATAGTGAAGGTAAGGTATCAAGTCTCTTCTAAGACAACCTTTTGTTCCCCTCATCTTGCCAAGTCATCATCCTAGATTTCACTTTTAATGATATTTGGTTGGTTTTGATTCCAATCATAGTTATAAATTTCAAA